CTATCTACTACTCAATTTTTTAATTTTATACTTATATCTATTCTAGCTAACCAATCTTTTAAATTTTGTAGCTGCTGGTTTATACTTAATAACAAACAAACTGTATAAATTAAACTAATTCAAGAAAAAACATTTCAACTTACAAACATTGCTAGTACCAAAAAAATTACAGATAAACTAATAATTTATATTATCAATACAGTTGTTATCTCTATACTAGAATACAAAATATACAATATAGTCCTTTCTTATTCTATATGCAACAAAATTTTAGCCAAATATCTAACTGTAGTCAAACATAAATCTCATCTAGCCTATTCAATTCCAAACAGCACTATACTTAATCTATTCCTATATAATGTACACAATATTTAGAACATTTAGCTTTAATATTATATATCTAACTTTACTTTACAAATTAACAATTTTCATTTACTAGAAACTTCTATATGCATTTGACTACAACAATTACAAAATAATTTTTGGTCAATTACAAATATACTACAACACCCCAATCTAATATTAATAGACCTAATAGATATACTTTAAACTTTAAAATTATCCAACTTATTATATATATTAACATGTTTATAATAGCCAATAATAGTGTATTCTGGCCCAATACCATATAATTCAACCTCCAACTACTAGAACCAATTATGTTCTCTTATTCTTAATACACTACCTTCAAAAAACAACTTAGAAAACTTAATATCTTATATCTTAAACAACTCTGTACTGTAGACAATACTACCCTATTCCAATGGAATCATCTCTTATCACACTTAGTACAGCTACCTAAAGGACATAAGCTAACTTGGTTTATATGCCTAGAAAATACTGTAACTACTAACAAAAGCTCTGAATACTATATCTATAATACCAACAAACTGAACACAATCCTTTTGTCTACAACTTCTAATATATCTTTAAAAGACTTAAACTCTGGTTACTAATATATGATAATATTGATATTATTATTAGCAAAATTTACAGATATTTTAAAAATAACAATCAAATATCTATCATATACTGAAAAACAAATATTAATACAAAACTTTTTACTCACTACTCCCTTTCATCAATTCAATGCTCAGCTTATACAGGTTGCTATCTCAACTCTCATAGAGTTGCAAATTACTTCACAATTAATATATTATTAATAATTTCTACTCAATTTCTTAAAAAAGTTTTTTCTAATACACTCAACTTTAATGCAAACTATATTGATCTAATTTATTCAACTGCAATTAAGCATTCATTATCTCTACTCCTGCTCTTATTATCTATATTTCTGACTTTCTTATATCAGAAATTTTTAAGCAAAGAGAAGCTACATATATACTTGAACAATATTCTTTTACCAATATAGTACAAAATATATTTAATTTCTATACTGATGGCTCTGTAACTGACATTAGTACAAATCAATGTACAATGAGTATTGGATAGGTATAAGTTAATAATCTCAACTAAATAATTTACAAATTCTTAGCTAAAATTCATTTCTGGCTATCTTCTTACAAAACTGAACTAATGTTAATTCTTTTAGCTATTTCAATCACTTCTTGCAACTCAACAATTAATATCTTTATTGATTTTTAGTTTATAATTACTAAATATTCTAAAATATATACAACTCTCTCAAATCCTAACAAGCTTTTCAAATTTAGCTCATGGTTTATATAGCATACTCTGTTTAATATTATCAAATCTTACAATCATCAGATTAACTTTTACAAAGTACAAGCTTACTCTAATAATATTCTTAATAATTTAGCAAACTTACTAACAAAACAACATAATTTATTACTTACACTATACTTTAACTACATAAGCATCTACAATTTATATTATATAATTTTTTAGAATCTACATTTTATTAAATATCCAACTAGAAGCTTTATCAAAAATATCTATAAAGACTATATCTTAGCAATGTGGTATTCCAAAAAACATAACATGAAATAGGAAGTCTTGGTTTCTCAAATTGATTAGAGATCAATTTGGCTATATTTTAACTATAACCAAAAACCAACTAATAATGTTACTAACTTTAAACTCAACTACCTTAAGTTATTTAAAATTAAAATTTTAATAAATAAACTTTCTATTTACTTTTACTTTCACAAAACTTATCTATATACATTTTATAATTCTAACTGCTTTAACTGTAATCTTGCTAACTTTTCAACCTATTGGCATGCATGCTCAAATCTATTACTTATCTTTAATATTATCCAAACTAATATATCTGAATATATTAATCATACAGACTTCAATTTATTTATAAACCAACAAGAAGAACATATTCACAAAATTAGTAATTATAATGCTTTTTACTTTATACCTCTTTAAACAAATCAACATTATTTTGATATTACACTTAAAGAATTTATTTCTAAATTCTTAATTGATACTGTACAAAACTTTAACATTTTATACAAACTAGTCTCACAAACAATCATTACTATTCTGTTTAAAATTAATGCCTTTCTTATAAACAAATATGAAAACCATATTGCATAAACTTTGCTAGCTGAAAACAACAACAAGGAATTAAACCATCTTATGCCAGACTCTCACTTCAATCAAGTTAAAGCAACTGAAGAAACTTTAATCATAAAAATTATACTTATTCTTGTCTATGTGAGCTATTTGATCAACTACACTCTTATTCTAATATCTGTCTACCCATTGGCTATGCTATTTATAAAATTAATATCTAGATTATTCTTTAAATCAAATACAATATTTTTTATAACTATATTCTAAACTTACAAATCTAGGTAAGTCTTGACCACTCTAATAGGTTTGGTTACAGATAAATATGTCTAAGCTTTTATTCTTGAATGTAGTTTTTTTTATTTGTACTTAAAGAAATAACTATATAGTTAGCAGTTTAATAGTTTAGCTTTGACTACAAGTGTTAGTTTTAGTTATAGTATTTATATAGAAAATTACTTTTTATATATAGCAGCTCTATGTAGCAACTAACTTTTAAATTACTAATAAAAAAATAAACAAGGCCTTATTTTAATACTAAAAAAAAAAATTTAATTATTGTGTTTTTTTCTAGATTTTGCTAATTGTCTCTTTTTTGCTATATTTATAATTAAAAGTAACTACAATCTAAGTATTATCTTTTTTAAAAACTTCTTTGACTTTTTTACTATATTTATTAAAACTAGCAATTTTTTTATAAACTTTGTTTTTTCTTTTTTAAAACTGTTTAATATAGGGAACAGGTATTTCTATACCTGATTTGGTATTTCTACACCTTTGTAAATAGCCAATTAAATTATATGAAATTAGATATATTATATCATATGATTTGATTGAAATTTTAGATAGCACACCTCAAAATTAATAATTCTGACCAATCAGATTTTTTATCAGATATAGAATATAATAAAAAAACTTTGTATAAAATTAAACCAAATAAAATCACATTATAGTTAAGGTTAGGGTTAAAGCAATGTAGCACTTATTAGTAAAAATTTATAAAGAACACTTTTAATTAGACTGCAGAAGGTGATTTTCTAATTATAATTCAGAGCTATTCTCATTTTTTTTGTAAAAAAAGTGATTTAATTTTTATATTGCATCTGGTCTAGAAATTCGTATTGAAATTACAAGGATGTACCAGTTTTTGTGAGTGTGCTAGAGAGTTTAGCTCAAGTAGAATCAGAAGTTATGTAACATAACACTGGTATTATATTTTAGCTTTGCTATAACTATAATACTATTAGTTAACAGATAACAAATCAGTTTACAATGATTATATTTTTTAATTATATTAATATGAACTTGTATAATATAGGAATTTATAAAATTGTTTTAACATTTTGGTAAAATTAGATAACTAAATTGAATATAACATTCGAACTTAAGTGTAGGGGTGACATAGATCATTTTTACTAGTAATTTTATAGCAAATCATATGATATTATATGATTTACATATAAAATTTTGGTTACATTACACGAATTTTCTATATAAATCTTGTGTGACCTCAAAAACTCATAAGCTGACCCAGGCAAACTTAGCAATATATAAAGTATTTTTTTTAAAATAAAATAAATTATAAAATTTTCTCAAAATAATTAGAAGATATAGATTTATATACTATTAAATTTGGTAACAATTGAATATAATACTGAAAAGTTTTATTAGTAATATATATTTTTTTATATATAAAATTTTATTTCTAGGAAAATCATATGACAAATGATCTACGTCACCCCTACTCTTAAAGGCTTAAATATTTAAAATATGAATACTAAATCTGTATAAGAATAAAACATATTCAAAAGTGGCAGTGATATTGTATATTTATTAAAACATTTAGTACATATAAGTTAATATCTAAAAATAAATGATTCTGGAAAACCAGATTTTGGACTTTAGGCTTATAAGTTAATAGTCTCAATTTTGAAAATTTGAATAATTGAATCTAGAGACTAGAACTTCCTAATTATTTAACCATGTAATTGTATTATCTATTTACTTTAGCTGCTATTAGGATAATATTAGGCATAAATAACAAAATTTGGTCAAGAATTATAGAAAAATTTTATACAATTAAATGGTTCCAATCTTTAGTTGAGTTTGGTAAGTCATAAATTTAAGAGTCAAGTCTGGTTTTCCTATTGCATCATAATTATAAATTACTCTCATTGTTAATATTAAAATATATGAATTTATCAACAAAATTATATAAGACCACTTTGCGATGATTATTGAATAATGGATTTTAATTGATATAAAGAATGATATGTATTATGAAAACCATTATTCTATGATTATTATAACTCCCATGTAATGATGTAGTGTCATTAAATCAGAGTTTATTTAATTTAAAATATGTAATAATTATATTTGTTGATATATATAAAATATAAAAGTAAAAAATTGTATTAGAAGAACTGTTATTTGCATATATTAAACAAATTTCACTGCTATAATAATTAAACCTACCAATAGTAAATATAACTACAATGCAATGCTCCTCTGCTGGTCAGTTTAATAGTCATGATTCACTAATCAAACATGTACGAACATTTAGTGCTTCAAATGGTTATGGCATATCTATTATAAGATCGAAACCAAATAAAGTATATCTAGGTTGTGATAAAGCTGGACATTATAGAAATCAGTCAAACAATACAAATAAAACACATAAAAAACTCACAGGTTCTAGATTAATAGGCTGCCCTTTTTCTCTTCATGGTACTAAAAAAAATAATATATGGATTTTGTTTATTAATAATCCACATCATTGTTATGAACTATCACAAGATGCATCATCTTACCCATCCTTATAAAGCTAAATAAGCAGGCACAGAAACAACTAAATGAAATGACAAAAGCTGGAGTCTGTCTATAGGAGATACTGTCTTCACTTTATCAAAATGATCCTTCAATTTCTACAATGTCACAAGATGTATATAATATTCGCAAAAAACTTCATCGAGAAAACTTGAAAGGTCATACACCTATTCAAGAACTTGTAGAGAAGCTTGACAAAAGTCAATTTGAATATAACTATTAGTGCAATGCTGATGGACATATAACGCATCTTTTTTTTGCTTATCATAAATCTATAGAATTGATGCATACTTATTCTTCTGTATTGTTAATAGATTGTACTTACAAGACTAATAAATTTAAGCTACCTCTTCTTAACATAGTAGGTGTAACTAGTTTTAATACTACGTTTTTTGCATGTTTTATTTTTATGAAAGATGAAAAAAGAGAAGATTATTTGTGGGCACTTATTCAAGTGTCTTGCTTATTTGATAACTCTGAGTCATCTAAAGTTTTTGTAACAGATCACGAATTAGCACTTATATATACAATCCATGATATATTTCCAAACTCAAAGAATATTCTTTGTAGATGGCATGTGGAAAAAAATATCTTGACTAAATGTAAGGGTCATTTTTGTACTAATCAAGAATGGAAAGCATTTCTTTATTGTTGAACAGAAATTGTAACATCAAAGACTGAAGAAGAATTCCCTATTTGATGAGCAGAATTGTGCACAAAATATAATGAAAATTCACTAACTATTAGATATATTCAAGAATCATGGTTGCCATTAAAAGAAAGCTTTATTAGTGCATAGGTTGATTATTATCTTCATTTGGGTAATACATCAACATCTCGTGTATAAGGTTCTCATTCAGTATTAAAAAAATACCTTCAAATTTCAACAGGTAACTTAAATATAGTTCATGAAAAAATTTTACTATTATTAGAAATCAACATCATAAAATCAAAGCAATGATTACTAAAGATAAAACCCATATTGCACATGCCCAAAATATCCCTTTTTATAATAAGCTCATTACTAAAATTTTAGCATTTTCCTTAAGAAAAATATATGAACAATATCTTAAAGCTCTACAAGCAACTTCCGCCAACTCACTTGAACCTTGCACTAGTACTTTCATTGCATCCATGAGTCTTTCATATGTACATATTATCCAATAATATCTTAAAACAGACCAATCATTAAATCTTGATAATATTCATCATTACTGGTGGATTGAAGACAATCAACTACTCCTACAAAAACAAAATAGAATTAATGATCATTCATTACCACAATTGTTGCAAGACTTTAATCAGCAATACGATATCTGGTTAGCTTCACAACAAACAGCAGATCGTCATAAGCTGTCTGAGTTAATCAAAGAACCAATGCTTTTGTTAGATCTAATGGTACAACAACATATTAGAGGATGACTAGCTGGCTCATAAAACAAAGCTCAAACCTCTACCCAAATGATTTCATAAGCTTTTGAATTAGAAAAGGCTAGGACAGGTAGCAGAAGATATGATATGTGCAAAAAAATTGGTCACAACAGTAGGACGTGTTCTGATTATAATATAAATGCAAATTAAAAAGATTATAAGTAATAACTGACCATGCAATACTAAAATATACATATGTGCTATATTATGCTTAAGTAATAAACTGCTAGATTCAACTATAAAACAATATATACTTATCAATTTGTTAGCTTTAGTAATAATGACAATTATAAATTTTTTTGAAGTCTTTTAAACGAAACTTGAAAAATTTGCATTAATAATTCAACAAAATAGATGAAAAAAAGTATTGGTATAGAATAAAAAGTATAACACTTCTAATGGCATAAGCTTATTTATTATACTCTTAAAATAACAGATGCAAATATATTATTTTGAGCATAACCAAGTATTTTATTTCTAGATAAGTATAAATTTCTGATTTTGATTGTTATTATTGTATATTATAACTACTAAATTAATCAAAATTTAATTTTAATACAGCTTTAAATATTATAAAAAACCAATATTGAAAGTAATAATTCACAAACTTGCTTAGTTTCGCTTCATTATTTATCCAAAAAATGATAAACCACATAGCCAAGTTTCTTATTATTCATTTATTAAAAGATCAAGTTTCTGATCGTCTTTCTTAACAATTTAATAACCTAATTACAAATAAATTTTAGATCTAGGATATGTATGTTACAAGTCTACTAAATGTCTTATTTTTTTCAAAATACTGTAAGATTTGTAAAAATAAAGACATATGTACATAAATAGGAAATAATATACACCTGTGTAATATTTATTGATTAGTTTGCATAAATGATTATTCCTATATGATACATAATAGATCAAATCTCTTTGTTGGTTTAATACAAATGTAGCATGCTGTATTTCTTTGATCCAAAGCTTTAGAATAGTTGTTTTCTACTTGAAATTTCCCAAAGATTTACTCTACAGCTATATATAACTGATTTTTTGTCATGTTTATATAATCAAGTTCATTTTAGAACTTCATAATACTAGTAAAGTTATTGATCTTAATTCCTAATAATTATTGATTTGCTACTATAATTTCTATTTAAAAATAATTATATACTTTACTTTAATAATGTTTTTGTAAAATTATTTTTCTTTGTTTTATAATTTTTTTTTTTTTTTTATCATTTTTTTAATTTTTAATTATTGTAATTATATTTTTATAGTTTTGTTGTATTATATTTGTTTTTAATACTAAAATTTTCTTCTATATATTTGTTTATTTCTGTTATTATACTCACAGTTTTGTATCTTTAACTTCTTTATCTTTTTTTTTGTCTTTTTTTTTCTTTTAGACTTGTATTCTGTCAAAATTTTTTTTCTTCTATTATTATATCTACTATTTTTGTTTTTTGTTTTATTTTTTATATATACATTTCTGATATAATAAGTTTTTTTCTTGATATCACATAATTTTTTCTATTCTTTATACTTTATATTATTATTGAATGTTAACTTATATGTTTAATTTTTGTTATATATATTTTATATTGATTAGATTTTTTATATCTACTTTAATTATTATCTTATATATTTTTTTAATATTATTGTTTTCATTAAATCTATCTTTCATAGTGTTATTATAATTATATCTATTATATTAAAGTAATTGTTTCTATTTACTAACTTTTGTTCTAATTCTTTATTATTTACAAGTCTTAGTATTACTTTTATTTTTTTACTTTCCAACTTTAATATTATCAATTTTTTTGATTTTATTTGTATTATTATTTGACTGTATTTGTATGATTCTTTTTGATTTATTTTCTATCATATGTACTTTATAATACTTATATATCTATTTTATCTATTTTTGTATATGTTTATTTATTTATTTCTTTATATACTTATATATTCAAAATTGATTTGCAATTTCAGATCAATATTATTTCCTTAAAATTTTTATATTTTTAACTTTTATTTAATCAAGTTTGTTTTTTTTCTATTTATTGTGTGTCTATTTTTTTTTACTGTTATATTTGCTAGGTCTGTTTTAGATGCTTTTTTTTTTATTTAAACTTTTAATTGTGGTTTTGACATTAATTTTTATATAAATTTTGATTTTTCTTTTTGTAAACTTTGTGTTTTGATAATTGATGGAAAGAATTGATGTTAGATTATTTTATTATTTTTTTTAATATTGTTATAATTTTATTTATAAAGCTTATATTTTATATTTTAATATAAAAATTTTAAAACACTTTGTTTTTTATAAATATACAGTTTTAATTTATTTTAACACTAATTTTAACTTTTAAACCAATGTGAAAATAAGTTTGTTTGAAATTAGTTATATATGCCAAGTTAAAAATTTTGAAACTTTTTATAATTATGTAAACAAACGCATTTATTTCAAAAATATATACTGTAAATAAAAACAAACATATAATCTTAGTAAAATCTCTTTATACAATGCATATAATTAATTTTTTTAAAAAAACATCCAATTGAAATATAAATAATTATATAATGATAAATTAGGCAATCTTTGTAATTTATTATATATGTATTACGTATGTAATACTATTAACAATTTTATTAATTATTTTTTTTAATCAGACAAAGCTTACGTTGATTGTCGTAATTGTTTTTAAAATTTCATTATTATATATAAATGGAGAATAATTTACGTAATTTCCAAAAATGTAAAGAATGTAATTATTATTCGACGCGCTTAATTAATTATTTGTCGTTGTTGTAAAAATATATATTGTACATACATATCGAAAAAGGTCTCAGTTTACGATATATGGTAATTAAGCATAGTGGCTGAAATAAATGATATATTATTACATAGTACGTATGTATGACTGCATTTAGAGGTAATGGTTGACGTTATAGAATGTACGTATAATATATACGTAACCAAAATATATAACTAATTAAAATGGATATAACTAATTAAGATGTATATAACTAAATATATATAACTAATTAAAATGTATATAACTAAATATATATAACTAATTAAAATGTATATTATAAAATAATTTCAGGGGTAGGTACAGTAGTCGACTATTATATATAAAATCAACATCAGATATACGTATACGTAAAACAATCTTGTCAGGATGTAAGAGTTAAATCAACATGTGAATAAATTTTATCGTACATATGTACTTGATTAATGCTTGGATGCTTGGAGAATGAATTAATGTAACATTGCTTAAAGGATTTTTATTTTCGAAAAAAATCAAAAACTATATTAGTAAATATCATGCTTTTATACATACCGATACGTACACATGTACGTATATATGCATAAATCAAAAATTCAAAAGAAAATCTTTTTAATACAATATTAAATATTATCGCGTGATTATATATTATCAATAAATAAATATTTAGACATAGAATAGTTAAAAACGCGTTAATTTTTAAGCTTTATATTTGTATGCGTATGTCATTAACTTCCATTTTAGTGACACTATGCGATAACCTAGTTCAATCGTGTAACCATGAACTCGAATAGTTTTACAAGAAAAACATTCCCATTGTTCTCAAAACTAATCATTTCCAAATAGGTAATCAATATTTTTTGCGCCTGTTAATTTTCAGGTGAAATTTTTCAAATAAAATTGAAATGGCGGCTTTTTTTTTTTTTTTTAAAAAAAAAAAAAAAGTGTTTCATATTATACATGAATTAGTCTTTATTTTTTTTTTTTTATATGCAATATATTGTAATAAATCATTCAAACGCGCATATATAAACCATTTTTAGAATTGACAATCGACATGAAATTAGAGTATGTCATTCATATACTTTTAGGTTTTTTATACGTACTCAATAAATAAATCATTTTACCTTTAAGGTTTACCTTTAAAATGTTACTTTTAAGGTTAACCCATTAAAATAAGTACGTACTTATTTATTTTAAATAATTTCATGACATATTGATTTAAATACAAATTACGTGATTAAAATTTAAATGGAAACGTTTTGATTCAGAAGTAAACTAATATTGATATTGATAAAAGAAATAAAATGAAATCTTTGTAAACTATATTTAATATTGATATTGAATATTTTTAATATTGAATTAAAATAAAAGTATTATTAATTCGATTAATTTGATTAATTTCAAAATATATAATTTGAATCAACAAACTTATTAAGGATTTATTTTTAATAATAAAGATTTTTTTTTTTTTTTTAATCTACTAAATGAATTTCGGTGAGGAAAAATTGTCGAAATTTAGAAATTTTAATAGAATTAATCCAATCCTGACTTACCTCGGTTTACCTCCTACTTCGGTCTACTTTGGTCTGTCATTAGAGACCAAAAGTAGACAAGTTTTTGAAGAAGCCATTCAGATCAACCAAAATGACTTTTTATAAAAAGATTGATAATGACGTGATAATACGATTTTAGGTAAAGATTTACTAGAGTATCTAGAGTATCTTTCGGTAATCACCGAAAAATCAAAACGAAAAGGAATGAGTTTAGAGACTTAACCAAGATAAGATTATATGAAAGAAAGTCAATAAAAAAAACTTCCAATTAAAGAATCAAAAAAAAGAAAATATTTTTAGATGTTTTGTTTCCCAAATAAGTCAGGTAAAGTTTCATTGTGCGTAATATGCTGTAAAAGTTTCCCCGCTTTTCTATTAATTTTATGTTTGATGCAAGTATGTAACTAAGATCGAAATAAACAAACGACAATAAAGACAGATTGTGTTCATTAATTAGCAATTTTGGAATTGCCTAAAAAAAAAACAAAGAAATTCAAATATAATAAAAAGTTTAAAGAACAATGTGATATTTCTTTGTTTAATAATGAATTAGATCAAATTCGACTATTTTCTTATTAAATATACGTACATACTTATGGTCGTGTATGTACGCATATATATATAACCGCGATGTAATGCAATGCAATGTATGCGAAAAAACAGTACTTGTATACTTTGATTGAAAATTTCAAGAGCGTTAAAATAAAAAATCCATATTAATTATAATGGCCAGTTAATGAAACCATTACGCCATAATTTCCTTTTGTGTAATGCAATAATGTAATGAAATAATGGTACATAGTAGTGATGTGTTGCATTTATTATTATTGTTACGTAGTACGTATTTACTTAAATACTTATTGCCAGGATACTGTACTTCAAAGCGTGTAACTTGCAGGACTCACAAGACTGAAAAAAATTTAGTAGGCGTTTCCAAACATAGAATGTCTTGTATTAAAAGAACCTATTTTTACATATAATCTGTTCAAAATTTTGCAAAATTCATGTGAATATTTTTTTTATTATAATTATTACGATAACGATAACTTGTGACTGTTGTGGCTTTTGCACGTAATGATTCCGAACTTGTCACGTGAATTTTTTAGTGAATTTTTTAGTGAATGTTTTGGTGAATGTTTTAGTAATGTTTTATGTAGTAAATGTTGTAAATGTAGTAGTGAATGTTTTTTGGTGAAATTTTTTAGTGGTGAATTTTTTTTTGGTGAAATCTTTAATGAAATTTGTAATGATTAAAAATGAGATCATAAAGAATTTTTAACAAAAAATAACGCAATTGGTTCTTGAGGATAATTATTTTAAAAACGGATATTAACTTTCCTAATTTGGGTATGAAGAACCGATAAACTTTAGATTTTGTACAAACCCTAACCAAATTCTAATGGTAATTCCGATTTATTCAAATAGATAAACCCGTTATAATAATTTTACGTATTATAACTATTATTACTATTTTTTTTTTTTTTCGTAAAGTTTTGAAATAATGGTAGATCTCATGATTTTTTATTATGTAATTTTGTTTTAATAGGAATTAAAGGTTAGTAATCATTGAAAAAGGTTTTGACAGCTACTAATTTCGGAGAACAAGAAGTCTTTTTATAAATTTACGAAAATAATTATCATTTTGATAATCTTGGTTTTTATGATATTTTAATGATATTGCAGGAAAAAAAAAAACACAAACCTGTCATATAAGGAGTTTTCATTCAAACTAAAATAAGAATGTAAAAAAAAGAAATTCTTGAAACGAAAACAATAGTTCAACATAATCCATTCCTTTCCAGGTTTACAAATGAATAAAATCCCATGATTTTTTCCATACTCGGTGATTAACCAGGAAGGTTATTACTTATTAAAGGGTTTTGATACGTATTTCTAATTTATGTTAAGATTGGCTCGGATACCATATAAAAAAAATTTTTTTTTTCTAAATAGTAATTTAAACGTAAAGAAAGTTGTAAACTTTGAATCTAAAGAATAAAAAATCTTGACCGGAAAACATCCAGATACGGAAAAGTATATCCGTATAATATTAGCATCTGAATGGCACAATGGTAAATGTAAAGTTCGGATAAGGCCTATACCGTATTACCGTATTACCTGTCTTAACTGTTTTAAATATGTTAACTATAATGTTAACTATGTTATGTTAATTGTATTGAATTTCAAAGTCATTTTTTCATTAAAAAAAAAGATAAAAATTTTCATGTTTAATGTATTTCACGATATTTATTTATATTTTCAGGAGGAAAAAAAAAACTATTTTTTTTACACTTTTAAAGTATTAAAACCTTAAAAAACAGATAAAGTTTGGTACATAAGAAAAGGTTGTTAAATGACTTGTGAAAAATGAACAAAAAAATTTATTAAAAAAAAAATATATATTATAAACATAAAAGAAAATAATAAATATGATGTATCGTAAGGTTTTTTTTTTTTTTGAAAATCGGATGTGTTTAGATTTTAATAAAGTTTCATGGTTTGTGTGTGTTCCTCAATGATCAGGTACACTATATACAGTAAATGATTCTGAATATCTACTTAACGTTAAAGATAAAAAAATTTATTCATCCCAACGTGGCTTAGAGAAAATATTTGTTGTCGTGCTTTTTTTGTTTTTCTGTTTTTGATCTTCTTCGTAAACATATTTTGGATTCTTTTTTACGAATCAATGCTAATACATTGTTTGGTAATGTGCATTATTCTAGAATCCGCAAATAGCATACATAGTATAGATCGACTTCGACTTCGTTCGACCTTTTAGCGGTGTTTGTGATTTCCATTTCAATTTTTGTTTTTTTTTTTTTGATTAAAAAAAAAAAAAAAAAAAAAGTAAAAAAAAAAAACTTCAATGACAAGACATCTTCATCTGATAAAGAAAAAGACATCTCAATTTTCGTACATTAATCCGAAACTTTCAGTGTTTTGCTAAATTTTTAAATCATCGAGAATTATTTTACCAATCTTGAATGATCTCAGTATTTTCGAAACAATCGAAACTAATACCATCTTCCATACACTCATCGATCCATTCATCTAAAACATCATAAGCTTCTTTACCTAACTTTAAGAATCTTATATTCCAATAAAATTTTTCAAAATTTTCTTCATTTATAACATCTAACCAAGCGTCATCATCATGATGATATAGCCAATGTAATATAGTACCAAAACATTCGGGATATGGTATTGGTACAAATAAAGTATTGGGTAATTGTGATGAAGAAGAGTGGATGTTTATCGGACCAAAAAGTTGATTAAAGTACCCCGATTGGGTAGCCAATATCAAAGTATGAATATGAAAATAATATTCAGGTGGTGATCCCGGAGGTGGTGAACTTTTCTGAATAGACAATGGATTATTTGAAATATTATTTGAAATGTTATTTGAAATGTTATTTGTAATTGAATTATTATCATCATTATCATTATGAATCGTTGAATGATGAGAATTTACTATTGGAGAAGAAGGTGGAGAAGAAGGTGGTGAAGGAATAACGTTATTGACTTGATCATCATAACGTTGAATACTACTTATTATTTGCTTATAATTAATCATAGCAGCATTAAAATAGATTGTTAAAGCAGCAGCATCCGCAGCGGAACAAAATTTATCGCTACAAACTACAGGTAAGGCTGTTGTAGTCGTTTGACAATCTAATGAATGTTGCCCTTGCCATTCAGTTTCAGATACTTGACATCCGTGTTGTTGTGACATGTTTTGATTTTGATTAATTATACAATTGCTTCTAACAATATGATGTAAACTGTTTAAATTTCTATTTAATATATTGTTCTTTTCGCAAAATTGATTAAAATAATTACAAAAATAATCAACTTCTTGAGGTTTAATTATCTTTAAAGAGTAATCAGCCGATTGAGGATTGTTCCAATGAGCTGGTCCGATTTCATCTAAGTTACTGAGAAAATATCCTACGGGTATCAATCTATTTGAAAATTGATCACTATAAACGGACGGTGTATGGTCAGTAGCCTTATACATAGGAAGTATAACGCGCTTTCTACGTGCCGGAAGACCCATTTTTTTTGGTGTGTGTGTATATTAAATGTTTATACAAAAAAAAAAAAAGGTTTTTTTTTAAAAAAAAATTGGAAATTTTTTTTATAAAGATTCTCTGAACCTTTTTAAAAATAAAAAAAGACAAATCTATATTGTGTATTTTAATATATATATATAATTGCGTTATTTGACAGTGACTATTTAACAGATTTCGTTAAAAGTGTATTTATAATAATATTTATAACCGTTGAATTATTGATAAATATATACTTGATATATGAATCAAATCAAAGGATTTTTTTTTGGTATTTTTTTTTATGAATTTTTTTTTTAAGTATCGTTAAGACGTCATGTACGTTAAGATTTTTTCAATTTTATATTATTTTTTAGAATTTAAATCTTTAACGACGAATGTTAAAGGTAAAAATGTATCTAGGAACTAGATACTTTAATTAATATATATAACGAACTTAAAAAAAGGCGACGTTAAGTTAAAAACTGTCGAAACTGAAATCAAAATTTTGATGGATTTTTTTTAGAGCTATATATATATGATTTGATCAAGCGTTTTTGTTTTTTTTTCTGGATGAGTATATTATATATTTTAAAGTATATGTATAAATAAAAAAAAAATGTAACCTAAACAGGTATCATCAGCCATGATATACAAGGCTTTTGATCCGAAAGGGAAATTGATTGTTACCCAAAAACGGAATTCTGTTTAATTATAAATACTAATTTTTTTTTTACAAGCATGCTATCGATACATGTAGATTACATTGATCGAGCCGAGTCGTACATCAGTTCAAATGTGTTGAACTTATTAAGATCAACTATACATATTTACTTGATTCGTTAATACAAATTTATTATTAACTAAGAAAAGTGAACATAAAATATATATAAATATGTTATTAATTAACAAAAACGAAGAACAAGACTTCGGGTTAACTCCTTAAAATTTGTTATGCTCCTTAATAAACTTTCAGTCATTTGATTTGTCGCCACCTTTTTTTGTTATTGATTTTAAGTACTGCATTTAATAAAAGTTTTTTTCCGTAGTGGTAGGGGATAAAATTTTAAACATGGTTAAAATTAGCTTAATTTGAGTGATCAACGAAACTATTACGTACATATCGATATAAATTTTTTGAAAAAAAAAACAGGTTTTTTTTTTGTTACCTATGAAAGTTTAAGTGTAAAAAAAAGTTCATTAACTACATAGTCATAACCAAAACATTACGATCAGAGCTTTGAAATTCCAGATTTTATTCGTTTTTTATTTTTCCTCTTTTTTTCCACGATTCATAAACTTATTGAACGTACATATTGATATGTTAATATGTACGTACATAAGGACGTAAATACATAAGTACGTATCACGTCAAACCTATAAGATCGTTGAGATCACCACTACATAACTGATTACTGATAATAACGACACATAATAACGACACGTAACGACATAATAACAACACAAAATAACAACACATACACATCAGAACATAAGAACGACACATAATAACGACACACATAATAACGACACATAATAACGACACACATAATAACGACACATAATAACGACACACATAATAACGACACATAGTGACAACACATAATAAGGACACATAGTGACAACACATAATAAGGACACATAGTGACAACACATAATAAGAACACATAGTAACAACACATAATAAGGACACATAGTAACATAATAATGACAACACATAATAACGACACATAATAATGACAACACACATGACATGCCTAGCATATAATCAATCAAATAATTTATTTAACCTCCTAACATATCAGATATCAGATATCATTATCGTTATTTCAGATGGTAATTCATTTAATCGGTCAGCAGTTCAATGCACCGAAAAAAGTGATCGAGTTTCATCATTTAAAAAATCTCTGATTTCCTTTAAAGATAACCTAATCAGGCGTAAAAAAAAAACCTGATTTTTTTATGGTATATCATCTCCTTGTAGGCTTTGCAGAAATCGTAAACCAATTCCCACAAATATCCAATGGTGACCATGAAACACGGTGCCAACGATATGTAAATCATGTAAATAAAGCAAATGAAAGTAGTTTTTTTTAATAGTAATACTAATACGATTATATATTTTATATATATTTATATATATTATTTTTATTTTACTTTATTTTTATTTTATTTATTTTATTTTATTTTTATTTTTTTTATCTTTTGGCTAATTATTATTTTTTATTTTTTTTGAGAAAGTAACCCAAGGGACACTCGTGACACGTACGTAAATCTTTAAGAATTTAGAAAAACCAAAATTCTCAACTTTAATTCTTAATATACCTATATTTATAATAAATAACAGAAATCATAAAGTTTATTTATCAAAAAGAATATAATTATACGTAACTAAGCATGGATAAATAAATATGCATAACATCCGCTAAGTGCGTTAAGTCGGCTAAGTGGGCTAAATGTGCTAAATGGATTAAATGAAAGGAAAATGATATTACAGTATATTAATTATTCGCTTCATAAATATATATTCTTTTTTTTCTAGCAGAAGGTAGATAGAGATGTACTGTACGTACTGTACTGTACTGTACTGTACTGTACTGTACTTGGGTACCTCGAAAGTTATGAATGGAATGACAACTTAAACAATTTTCTTTATTTAGTTTGATTATTAAAAATTGCCATTCTTGAATAAGTACGCGTTTAACTAATGCATCAAAGAATATGTTACGCATTTATAAACAGGGTCACCGAATATTATAAGTGTAAATGTAACATGATAACATTGTAATTACCGTTAATTATTTAACTAATCTTAACTAATATTAATACATATACTATTATGGTACTGTTACATACGTATCCTATTATACTATTTGGAATGCTTTTTAGGATACTATTTGGGATGCTATTTGAGACGCTATTTATAAGCTATTTATTTAATACGTATTATGTATATTTTTTTGCCTCTCTTTATGCGCATTCTTAAGCACATTCTTAAGCGCATTCTTAAGTGCATTCTTAAAGTTTTTAGAATTCCACATGTCGATTAGCACACGATCTATTCAATGATCTTCAAATTAATAATTTGTTCGTGCTCACATGCGTTTTTGATTTACATGATACGAGTTTAACTAGATACCTAAACTCTTGTATTACGCATTAATGGTAATAAACACACACACCCTACAAAATTTGATAATATTTAATATTAATACCCCTACAAAACTTGCATGATTTATATACACGCGTACTTTTAAAGTTTATGTTTTTGCGCCAATGTACAAATGACAAATGATTTCAAAATTCATCATTTCTTTATTTCTTTTTATTTCTTTTATTCTTTTTATTTCTTTTTATTTATTTTATTTCTTTTTATTTATTTTATTTATTTTATTTATTTTTATTTCTTTTATTTCTTTTATTTCTTTGCTTTGGTCAGGAACAACTATCACCCGTTAATAAGATAGCGAATTCTCCGTTAAATTCTTTTTTTTTTAAATAAACATAAAAAATTAAAATTTTTATGTTTACGATCTAACAATAATCTTGTGATGTATTTTATTTACGCCTTACTTTTACTTTTTTTTCTACAGAAATACATTCATTATTCCTATACTGGAGTTTGATGTTTTTTGTACTCCATTATTAAGGAATTATTCATTAATAAAATAAACAATTATAAAATTTTATTAAGTCATCTGACCTCTCTCACAACAATATATTTCCTTTCTAGTTCAATTCGAAGGTCAATATATATTCCATTGATACAAATATCAATAAATATCGATATTCTCCATACCTTATTATATTTATTATATATATGATTACATACTTTATTATGTTATTACAAATATATGTTTATATTAAGTACAAAAAATTTGTCCTAATCTACCATGAAATAAAAAAATCTCACTTTCCAAATTTGTAGATGTAAGGATTTCTTTTATAGATAAAATGAAATAAAAAAATGAATCCTAAATTTTTAAAATGTTATTGCCGCATCACGAAACCTGTTATTTACTAAATCCCATCTTTTTAAAAAAAATTTTTAACTATTAAAACGATGATGACTGAAAAAATACTTAGAAAAAACTTGTTATTTACCTTTATATATTATAAATATATTATATATATTTTATATATAGTTTTTATATATTTTATATATTCGGTAATGATTTGATTTGTGCCCTCTTTTATTACTGATTCGGTAATTGTGTTTTTTTTAAAAAAATAAAAAAGTTTTGGTACGTAGTACGGATACCGAATTCTAAAATTACGATACGATTCACTAAAGGTTTTTTTTGTCTTAAAGAAAAGTTTAATTCAAACGTGGTGAATTACTTTAAATTGTTGTGATAATCAAATATCAAATACAGTATTACCATTTTTTTATTAGAACCTGATTTTAATCTTTTTAACTTTAGCAAACAAGGATTAAATCCCTTTCAGTTCAAAGGTTAATTATTTGTGTAAATAATTACGCAAAAATCTGAACCACTGGATTAATCATTAATAACGATAAACCGATGTAATACGTACTTAAATTTAGTGAAAATGATCAACACAAAAAAAAAAAACCTTTAGTCATTAAATAACAATTTTCGGTTATTAACTTTTATTAACCATCGGATGGACCGAACTTTATACAATCATATTCCGATTGGTAGAAATATGCATATTAATAATATAAACAAAATTTAAAGATTATAAATATTATAAATATATTATATATATTTTTGTAAATTTCGGTAGAAATTGAAGCCTAGTAAGTTAGTATACTTATTTCTAATATAAACTTTTTGTAAATAATATCAGAAGGGTAACGAATAAAAACTTTTTTTTTTTAATTCAAGTTATACCATTTAAACTTTCGTATTTTATATTTCATGGGTAAGTACGTATCATCTTTTTTTTTTTTGTTGCTCTACCTTGCAATTAATAAATTATTATGCGTAATAAATTATTTATAATTTGTAAATTATTATGCGTAATAAATTATTTATAATATAATAAATTATTATAATAAATTATAACGATGATAAATTAGTAAATCTAACACTAAAAATCTATCAATGAAAGACGGTGTGACCTTTATGGCATACAAACAAGCGACTTCTTTGCATAATCATTTTAGTAAACTCTCTTTAAATATATATATATATTTCTATATATATTTAGTTGATCATTATCTTATTCATTAATAAGAAGTTGTAACAGGTAACACGATAAAAAGAACAATAGCAGAAATCAAGCTACATTCTTGAGTAAAAGATCTAATAGTACGAAATACGTATGTACATAACGCACAGCCCTATTAACGAAGTTCCGTTCTTTAAGAGAGACATTCGTGAAACACCGAAACATACTAACTTTATGTAAATTTTTTTTTTGTAAAGAGAAATGGTAATATTAAACTTTTGTTTACATTACGTATACGTATTTCATTTTGAATAATAAATTTGATTCTATATGCCAACCTCTTGGTTCATTTACGTATTAATTTTTCTTGTTCAGTGTAACACGCGCATTGACGATGTTTATTGATTAGTCGGAGTGTTTTCAAAACGATTATCTAAAGTTATCAAATTAAGGGTAACAAAATGATCTATAGCTTCTTACGTATCATTATTTGATATTATTTGGTTAGAAAGCTCGGGTCGACAACTCTACGCCAAACCATAACATTTACATGCAGTAATATTTTTTCTACATCTATACATCTATACATCTATACATATATATACATATATACAGATATAAGTTAATAGTTCAAAGATCTGTTCTCCGATCATAAAACTTCAATAAATATACCTTTTATGTAGTATAGGCAGAACTACTAATATCTTTCAAGTTAAGAATGTAAATTAAGAATGTAAATTAAGAATACAAATTAAGAATACAAATTTTGGGGTTACATTCTTCCTATAAGGTTTCTTTGAGTTTCCTTTGAGTTCCAGGTTTGGATCAAAAAATAAAATTTGGCGTCGGACTTTTTACTAATAATAGACTTTAAAAGTAAATTTTATTTTTGTTAACAATAATTTGTTGAAAATTGTTGTTATTGGTTTTTTTCCCATAAATAGTCGTCAAAAGAAAATAAATTACCATATTCACGAAAAAATCGGCAAGGGTTTCAACTATTAATGTTAAACCTATTATATAAAAATTTAATTACGATAATAAATTACAATACATATTAAGATACTTACATACTATTTATTATATATCATTCGTTAAGTAAATTAATAAATTAGTCACGCATTCATTCGTACTTGTTCGACATATGCGCGTTTATTTTGTTTTTTTTCTATTCCGAGAAAATCCCGAGAAAATTATATGTACCTGCGCATGTTAAACTTATATAATCATGCGAAACCATAACAAATTATCATACCATAACAAATTAACATACTATAACAAATTATCATAATTATCATAATTAATACATCCGTTTTTTTTATTAGGTATTTATCGTTTGTTTTCCATTTTTGTATTTAAAAGTATAGAATTTCCAAAAAGAGATAAACCAATACAATTAACCTTTATATATTATTTAAGCCACAATTAACTTTTATATATTATTTAAACTAATTTTAACTTTGTATATATAAACTGAAAATGTTCTAGTTTAATAATAAATGAGTAAAGATAAACGTACGTACGTATGTATGTACATTAGTACTAGTAATATTTTGCTAACGATAAGTTCATTCTTAATATGTTACGTCTTTTTTAGATGTTCCATTCAAACACATCCGATCTAAAATGTATGAAACCTTATTAATTTTCAAACTTTCCAATCATTTATTTTATTCAATGAATCTCATCTAACTTATCACTAATTGTTGGGTCGAAATTTGGTTAGTGGTTGTATTAAACTATCATTGATAAAGAATTCCTAATAGTGTTGAATGAACATGAATTATTTTTTCTTTAGTAAAAGTTTTGCATTAAAACGATAAATTTTATGGTTTAGTATGATGCATTGTTAAAATTAATTACATAAACATATAGTATTAAGCCCTTTCCGGTACAGATACCGATACGTATGTTTTTTCGATTTCATAACAGATAATTACGTCAATATTTACGTACGTGCATACTGCTTTTATGTGCGTAAGTACGTACGTACGTACCAGATACGTGCGTGCGTACGTAAGTAAGTGCATACCTACTTACCTTACTTACTTTACTTACTTACCTTACTTTACTTACTTTCTTTCTTTACTTACTTTCTTTACTTACCTTACTTGCCCACTTACACTACTTACGTGCGTATTGTACGTACGTACGTTCCCGGTACTTATCAATATCGATATGTATGTACCTTGTTTCTTCCTTCAAAAAAAAATGACACTTTTGTTATCCCGTAAAAGTTGATTACCTTTATTATTTAATATTTCGAAAATCTTTCCAAATATAACATTTCAACTCTCATCAAAGAAAATCCTCATTGTTCTCGAGGCGTAACTTTAACTCAAATCTTTGTTAATATCCAAAGATGATAAAACACCTTTCAACGACATATACGACGAATCTCACCAAAAAATAACAACGTATCTTTTTTTTTTTTTTAAATGGCATTGCATTACATTGCTTTACGTAATACTACTTGTTTTATCTCTGAGTAAAGAAATGATTGGATTTTAGTAAAGGAATTTGCCGAATTATTTAACAAAGAACTAATTATTAAACGCCCTTTTTCTAGTTTTCTTACTATACCTATTAACAAAGATATCATATCTTATTTCTCATTTAGATCTATTATCATGTCTTATTTCTCATTTAGGTCTACAAAAGATGTATTTGAGAACAATGGGATTTTTTATAATGGTTTGTTGTTTTTTTCTTTTCTTGTAATAACTTATTCGAATTTAGTTGAATTAATTGTACCTATTTGAAAAAAATATAACGTCTTATTTAATCGATAAGTACATACGTACATACTTACTTACCTGTTACGTTTCAGTATTTACGTACAGTACGTAAAAATTTAATGAAATTATTACTTCTAGACTTCTTTTAACACTTACGTACGTATCAAAGAAGTGTCATGAATTAATTGGTTTCTATATACCGATTAATACATTATATATGCTTATATAATTAACATATAAATTTTAAAAATGTATTGGTACGTAAGTAAGTACGTACGTACGTATTAAAACATTCTTAATTAAGTTATTCATAGTTTATATCTTTATGTACTGTACGTACGTATTAATCATTGAAAATTTTTTAATAAAAAAAAAACTTAATTTTATAACTTTTTAGTTCAACTATAATATTTAAAAATAATATCATGGATCGTAAAATACCCCGTGAAATATATCCTATTTTAAAAAAAAATTCTTTTAAAAATTCGTCAAGTATAATACATGGGTATTGATTTGAATTTTACCCGAGGAATGTGTAATATCTGGGTACCATTGTATGTGCTATATGATACTTTTAATTAAAATTTTTGACAAAAAAAAAAAACAATGGTTAATAAAAGATATATAATAAATTTCGGTTTTTATAAGCTTTAAATAAAATTAAAAATTATAAAATCATTATTCATGGATTAGTTTTTAAAAAATTAAATTTATTGATAAAGAACATAACTTATAATTATATATTAATTATTAAACAAATTAATTTTTTAGACTATTGCTAATTTTCATTTTAAGTGATATTGTCGTGCTTGAAGCGCCTAAAATTAAAACTGCCTAAAATTACTAGCTAACGCGGGCAAGGAGATCCAATTTCAAGGGTTAATTTTAGTTAGTGTAACTTCAAGCACAACAATATCACCTGGTTATATAAAAACCAATCATCTTACAAGATCTTATATAAACCAAAACAAAGCGAAAAAATATGAAAAAATCTTATTAAAAATTATGCTTTGACTTTTAAACAAAAGTTTTGGCATGGCAGAATGGATTATTGTGAATATAGAATTCATTTAGATTGATTCCAAATAAATATAGGTTGTAACAGAATTCAAAGATATGCTTGAGTTATTAAAAAATTCATCTTAACTTACAATAAAATTAAGTAAATTTCAAATTATTTCACCAAATACATTGTTTTGAAATTTAGATTACTTTACAAGAATGTTTATTATAATGCATTAACAAATTAATAAATATTGTTTTTGCATTTATAATTACTAAAATGACAACTACTACTAATAGTAATTCTTTTTTTATATTTATAATAATTTTATTATGCAAATTTTTACAATAATTTATATATATATTTTTAAATATTAATGATGAGGCCATGTCTTTAATTTTATTGAAATTCAATTGAAGTTTTTACAAAGAATAGTTTGTTTTTAAATTACATATAAAAAATAAAGACTCAGACATATAATCTGCAGCTTAAACCTACAAAAGTGGTTAAGGCTTATCTAGATTTAAGTATTAGTAATAGTATAGAAAAAAGGAGTATGATATTTAATCTATTAAATAATTCAAAAATCAATTTTGATAATAATTTGTATTATTGAGATAGGGAGTAAGAGTAGACTAAAAAAAGAACAGTAAATTAAGTTTATGAAAACTGTAATTTAGGACTATACAAAACATGAAATACAATATGAAATTCATATTTATTTATATATTTGTTGATTTAAATAAAGAAAAAAGTTAATAGAAAAAGAAATAACTATATGATAAGAAATAGAAATATTATGAATAGTAGAAATGAGGTCAATAGGAACTAAGCCCAATAAAGTAGAAATAAGATATGGTATATGTAAAAGATTGTGTAGTTTAAAGCTATTAAATATAAGAATTTCTTGATATAAATTAAAAATAAGATTGGTAAACATGTCAAGAGCAGTTGCATTTAAGATGTAATTAAAAAAATTAGAAATTAAGTGATAGATTGTTTAAATAGAAAAACAAAGAGTTCAGTATAATTAAAAACTAATTTGATTATATTGGTAATAAAAAGAAAAGTAAGAAGAGTTAAATTTGTAAAAATATAAAAATCAAGTAATTCATTCAAGAGAATTTTAATACAAAAGATTTTTAAAATAGAAAAATAAAAGTTATAAGCAAAGTTAAACACTTTTTAATTATTATTAATTATTATTAATATAAAGCCAAGTGACTTTTTAGTTGATATTAGATGCAATAATAGACCATTCATAAAAATGATGTTAAGATGTCCAAAATGTTGTAATATAAGTTTAACAAATAGTATAAATAGAATATTGAATAGGAATCTCAATAGGAAATTGGTTAATAAATGAAATATAAGTAAGGTTATAAAGATTGTTAGTTAAGAATGTTAAAAAGAGTAGTATTTGGTAACTATAAGCAAGTTGATTAGTAAGATTATTAAATAAGTCATCTTAGTATGCAGAACTTTGTGAAAAATAAACTGAATATTGTATAAGTTAATGAAATTGATAAGAGTTTGTCAAATAAAAAAGTACGAAGTATGAGTATGTGAGAGTTTAAATGCTAATGAGCAGATACTGTAATATTTAAAGATTACATATTATGAGTTAATAAAGATATGAACAGAACAGTTTTTAGGAGTAATAATAATTACTAAGAGAATAACAAGAATTTTAGCTTTAAAAAAACATAATTAGAGTTTAATTTATGCCTAAAATAAGTAAATAGTTGTAAACTTATTGACTTGAATCTAACCTATATCTATAAAGCATTAAAAGATATCAGGCTCAATAATAGAATCATTAGTATAAAATAAAATAGTAGTTTGATTATAATTAGAGTTAGCAATAAACTGTAAGTTGTCAATAAGTTAGTATAACTGAAAAATGTAAGATAATTGTTATGAGCTAAAAAGAGAATAAAATATATAATAGATGTTGAATAGCTACAGAGTATGCAATATTAAGAAAATTGACATGTAGGTTAAAAGTTTTGTCAAAGTTAATATAACAGAGTAGTTTTGTAACCAAATTTGTAAAATAAAAATAATGCATTTGTTAGCAATTGTATTAGAATTAAGATAGCATTCAGGGCATATAGTAGTAATAGAAAGAGGAGTAAGATAGAGATTAAAAAACTGTAACTGAAATAAGTAGTGTTAGTAGATGATAAGAATAAGACCTATAAAGCCATTATGTCTTCTTGTCTTGCCAACAAAAATTTGATTGTTAAGAACAATAAGTAACCAGGATTTAGTATTAAGTTAAAATAACTAATAATATAAAAAAAGTAATTTGTTTGAAGTAAATTAAAATAATCATATAATGTGTATTAATAAGAATAATTTGTAGTAATATTCTCAAGAATAGTAAACAATTGAGATATAACACTTTTAGAAAGTTTGTTTAGTCTAAGAGAAATATATTGCCAATGTAATAAGTATAAATTATTATAAGTAGTAAGTTGGTCAAGATAAAGAAGTTTGTGATATCTAAGTTGTTTTTTAAATACAGAATATTTGAAAGCAATTATATTTAATATTGTCTATTTATAATAAAAATTATATAATTAATGTTTTTTAGATACTTATTAATTTTAAAAAAATATTATTTAATTTAGAAAACTTATAAGGATCTAAAAAAAAAGGTTATTAGTATTATATATAATTTTAATAACATAATATTTACATTTAAGTCTATATGTATTAATTTCTAAAACTTAAAGAATTTTGTAAAAAAAGTTTTGATTATTATATATTTTATCTATTTCTAAAAACTTAATATGCATCATATTTTTAATATTATATTTGTTTATAAATTTTTAATTTTATATAATTTCAAATTATTTTAGTATTATTCAAAAAATTTTGCAATAACATTATAATAAATTTAATATATTAAAATTTTTTATATTTATTTAAAAAGATTTAAAAATAAAAAAATAATTTAATAAATATTGTTATTATATATTAAATAACTATTAGAATATTAGTACTTAAAAAGAATTTATTAAAACAAAAAATTTATATTTTTATTTAGACAAATATCAAATTTATTTTTAAGCAAACTTTTATTAGATATTTTTTTTAATAATTTGATTAATTCATTTTATTATTTGATGTTTATTTACAAAAATTTTATTATTAAAATTTTTTTTAAAAAACTTAACATTATAAAAAATACTTATATTTATTATTGTATTTTTTTTTATTTAACTTTTATTTTAATTTTATATCTAATTTTTTATTTATTTTTTTTATTTAATCTTTTATTTACTTTTTTATTTAACTTATTATTTAAATTATTTATTATTTTTCATTCATCTTCTTATTTATCTTTTATTTAATTTTTATTTATTATTTTACTTAATTTTTTATTTAATCTTTTATTTATTTATTTTTATTTAATTTTTTATTATATTATTAAATTTTTATTTATTATTTTATCTGTTATTTTATCTAAGTTTTATTTATTATTTTTTTAAACTTAAGCACTTATTATTTTAAAAAAATAATAAAAAATCAAATAAAAAATTAAAATTAAAAAAATTTAAAGAAAATTTAAAATTAAAAATAAAAATTTTAAAAAACATATAAAATAAAAAATTATTTTTTAGTTTAATATTATAGTATTTAAAATTAACTTATGATTTTTTTATTAATTAAAATTATTTTAAAAATTAAATAATTCAAATTAATTTTTGATAAAAAACAAATAGTTTTGTTCAAATATAATAAATATAAACTATTTTTAGTTTATTATTAAATTAAATATTTATTATATCTATATATATAAATATATTTTTAACTTTATAACAGCTTTGTTATTAAATTTTATTAAAAATTGTATTATAAGTTTAAAAATAATATATTGCCAATCATTTTTTTACTTATTATATTATAAACTTATCTAAAAAATTTACAAAATCTAAACTTGATTACTTTTATTTTATAATAAAAAAAATTATTAGAAAAATACAAAACATCTTATATTACTTAACTATTATTTAATAATTTACTATATCTCTAATAAAGATTTAAACTATTTAAAATTCTATTTTTTATTTTTTATTACTTATAAATAATATACAAAATGTTATAGATTTTGTATACCAACTTTGTACAAACTGACAGTCAAATTTGTACAAATAGGTAAATTCATACAAATTGATAGTTAAATTTATATATAACACTTTTAATTAAATTGCAATATCTTATAATCTAATAATTTAAATTATATAAATTTGGTAGTATTTAAT